TGAGCTATAGGCGCCGAGCCAGAACCACTTCCTTTTAAGCCCGACAGAGCATCTTCCCTATGGTGCCTGAGAGCGGAGGCATGAAGTGTGAAAGGTTTCCTTATTTCTGTCTGGCAGGATTTTCTGTTAGGATTTTCTGGCAAACGTAATGGGGCTACCAGCTGTTAGTAAAATGGAGAGTCATTTCTCTCTTGTTTGCAGGAAAGCCAGGGAGGTCTTGAATGGGTCCTAGGGATTTTGACAAGCTTTGGGTAGTTCTGATACAGGTAGGTCCTGGGACTTGCTTGGAGTAATACCAGCATAAACTGATGGTCCTTGCTTGACAAAGGAAATTCTAGAATCACATTCTGACTTCCCTGGCCGGTAACTCAGAAGAATTATGACCTTTCCCAATTAACTACAGACTACTCTTTGGCTAAATTTGTGGCTCTGGCTTTGAGGAATGCTGATTCAAAGGGTGACTAAAACAAGGAAGCTTTTGCCTTAGAGGGGAAAAAAAACTACTTCTAGTAAGTCAGGAAAACCAAAGTGGAAGAGAATACAAAACTGTCCTTTCACCGCACTGACCACATTGTTCTTGCATTTCTATGATTCTGGTTATGTAGAAGGCTATTTATTTTGTTTTATTGTATTTTATAAATCATGAAATAAGCTATTTAAAAAATTATGGCAGCAAATATGAAAGCACCAGTGGACTAATAGTCTAATACAGTCCTGAGATTTTTTTTTTTTTTTTGAGACAGGGTCTCATTTTGTCACCCTTGGTAGAGTGCTGTGGCATCACAGCTCACAGCAACCTCAAACTCTTGGGCTCAAGTGATTATCTTGCCTCAGACTCCCAAGTAGCTGGGACTACAGGCGCCCGCCACAACGCCTGGGTATTTTTTTTTTTTTATGGTTGTTGCAGTTGTCATTGTTGTCTAGCTGACCTGGACCAGGTTGGACCCAGCCAGCCTCAGTGTATGTGGCTGGTGCCGTAACCACTGTACTACGGGCACCGAACCCTGAGATGGGTGTTCTTGTTTTGACCAAGCGAGTAGAGGCTCTCCCACTCTGCTGGCTGCCAGCGCATTGACCTGTGTATCCACTGTAGCCTCATACAGGCAACTACTCAGATCTTCCCCACAAGCGAGAACACTTCACCAAAGCATTGTTTGGAGTCAGCCTATCAGACTCGAAAGTATGAAATTGTCTGGAATGCAGTTTGATTGAAATTTACAAATGTAACCTAAGAATTACTTCCGTTCCCTATTTTGGTTCATAGTGTTTTTATTGGGAAATTTTGATAGTCCTTAGAGTGTATTTCCTGAGAAACTTTTTGAATTTTTTTTTTTTTTTGTAGAGACAGAGTTTCACCTTATTGCCTGCCCTTGGTAGAGTGCTATGGCGTCACACTGCTCACAGCAACCTCCAACTCCTGGGCTTAGGCAATTGTCTTGCCTTAGCCTCCCGAGTAGCTGGGACTACAGGCGCCTGCCACAAAGCCTGGCTATTTTTTTGTTGCAGTTTGGCCGGGGCTGGGTTTGAACCCTCCACCCTCAGTGTATGGGGCTGGCACCCTACCCACTGAGCCACAGGTGCTGCCCACTGAGAAACTTTTTGTATTAGAAGGGAATCTGTGGTCTTTTCTAATGTTCTTCGGAATTAAACCTGTTTTGTTTTTGTTTTTGAGACAGAGCCTCAAGCTGTTGCCCTGGGTAGAATGCTGTGGCGTCACAGCTCACAGCAACTTCCAACTCCTGGGCTCAAGCGAGTCTCCTGTCTCCACCTCCCAAGTAGCTGGGACCACAGGCGCCCGCTACAATGCCTGGCTATTTTTTGGTTGCAACCGTCATTGTTATTTGACGGGCCCAGGCTGGAGTTGAACCTGCCAGCTCAGATGTATGTGGCTGGCGTCTTAGCCGTTTGAGCCACAGGCACCGAGCCGGAATTAAACCTGTTGAGCATCATGGAGTAGAAGATTCTGGGTTTTCTAGGCTTTATATAGCCACTTATTAAATTGTGTAAGGGCCCCATAGGCCCTCAGTTTTCCCACCTATACAATGCAGTAAGTGGGGTAGGTAGTTCCTCAGTCCTTTTCAGCACTTGTCTGTTCTTTAATATCTAGGAGCATTCTGATTCCATTGGGGTAGGGCCTTTTTTTCTCTCAAGATTGGCTTCTGCCATTATAGAGTACCCGTGGACAGGGATAATGACAGAACAGCAGCCTGGCTGCTACAGCCCATCCTGATAGCTTCACCTGGCTAGTGCAGTAAGACCAGGTCCTGGAGAGCTCTGGCGTTGAACACTCATGTGTCATGAGTAGAACCTACATGGAGCCTACCAGAAGGGCACAAATGCTGGGAACTGTACTAGCTTCACGTGGTATGATGCCACTCTTCCTTCTTAGCCAGTGTGGGACATGTAAAATTGTCTGTCAGTGACTGTTTCTGCTGCTTCTTTCATGGCTGCTACTTCTACCTCTTACCGTCCTCACTTGGCTCATATCTTCCGTAATTGAATTAGGTTATTCTCACTAGGTTCACTCTTTTCCCTGGTGGTTTCTGCTAAGCCCTAGTCTATACCTGCCCCCTTTCTAGGGAAGTGCAAGAAGTAGTAAAAAGATTCCCTGACCTAGATGTCAAAGGCCTTGCCTTCTAGGTGGCTCCTGAGAACAGGCCAGAAGTATTCCCATGATCCCACCCCATCTATGACGAGACGCACAGTGGAAGAAAAACAGGCACAGAAGGCAAAGGAGGAAGTAACACAACTGCCTCCACTCCTGTTCACCCATCCTGGTTTCCTGGCAGGGGAACTTAATTAAAAGAATAAATTACTGGGCAGTGCCTGTGGCTCAGTGAGTAGGGCACTGGCCCCATATACCGAGGGTGGCGAGTTCAAACCTGGCCCCGGCTGAACTGCAACCAAAAAATAGCCAGGCGTTGTGGCAGGCGCCTGTAGTCCCAGCTACTCGGGAGGCTGAGGCAAGAGAATCGCTTAAGCCCAGGAGTTGAAGGTTGCCGTGAGCTGTGTGACGCCACGGCACTCTACCAAGGGTGACAAAGTGAGATTCTAAAAAAGAAAGAATGAATTATTACCTAAATTCCTTTTAAAATCTTAGTTAAAAAAAATCATGTATTTTCTGTGAAAAATGAAAATTGTTTCTCTGTTGAGAGGAGCAAAAGAAAATTATTTGTCTTAAATATTTACATGTTCTTAGGATAGATAGCAAGGGGGCTGGGGGAAACTGACAGTTTGGTTTGGTCTCCAAATTAAAATGAGTCAAAAAGATAAGGCTGTGCTTCACCAGGAGATGGCCACCAGACCTGTTTGTGTTGTGCAAAGTTTTTACTCTTTTGTGTGTGTGTGCAAGGTTTTTTCAAGCCTCTCATCCACTGCTGTGAATAGGTAGTTTTTCTGTTTAACAAAGCAAGGAAACTCAGAGAGGGATTGTGTATTTCCCACAGTTAAAGAAGTAACCATAGAGGCAGGACTTACCACAGGTCTGTGTAGCTCCAAATCTCAGGTTCTCCACATACAGCCCCTGTTCTGCCATGCAGGTAGCAAGTGACAAGCCTGCCCCTTGAGAGCCCAGCAATCACTAACTGATACCTGTGTCTTGCAGAACTGCTGGAATTGTGGCCGCAAAGCTAGTGAGACATGCAGTGGCTGCAATATTGCACGATACTGTGGCTCTTTCTGCCAGCACAAGGACTGGGAGCGGCACCACCGTCTGTGTGGCCAGAACCTGCATGGCCAGAGTCCCCACAGCCAGAGCCGGCCACTGCTTCCTGGAGGGAGGGGCTCCTCATCCAGGTCTGCTGACTGCAGTGTGCCCAGCCCAGCACTGGACAAGACCTCTGCAACCACCTCGCGTTCCTCAACACCTGCTTCTGTGACAGCCATTGACACCAATGGCCTCTGAGCCCAGGCTCCACTTATCCTGGTGACCACTCAGCATGACAGAACATTTGCATTAGGGGTGGGGGAGGCAGGAACTAGTGCAAGTAGCTGTTGGTCATCAACAAGGAATGCAATGGAGGCAGAAAGAGTCCATGGCCTCTCTGGACACTTGCTGTCTAGGTCCTTTTGGAACAAGAGTGCCAGTCTCTCTGCACACAGACAGCTGGCCTGAACTGTCTCCATATCTTTCCTGGTTTGTTCCTCTCCCAGCTGAAGCTGGCTTAGCCAGCCCCTTTTCCGTGTAGACCACCAGCTCCCTCCCTGCCTCCTTGAGTCAGCAGAATGTTGAGTGTGCCAACCCAGGCTAGAGGTAGCTCATGCTATCTCCCACTCCATCTCTGGTCTTCATGTTGCAGAGGCCTGGAAGCTGGCAGCAGGCTAGAGAGGAGTCCTCCTTGGACGGGGGGTAGCCCCTCTTTATCCCTAAAAAGCTTCTTAAGCCCCATTTCTACACTCTGCAGGTGACACTGATTGGCCTTACAGGGACTTAGGTAGTCAAAAAGTGGACCTCAGGACTCTATCCTCAACCCTGCTATTCAGACTTGTTAAAATAATCAATAGGAAGGAAGTCACCATTTCAGTAAAAGCCCTCATAACAAGAAAAAATAAAGAAAAATTTCACCAAGCGTTACAGATCACTTGGGACAAGATTTTCCAATATGGCTGGCTACTTCAGTGTGGGACCCATTTTTTTCTGTCTCATTTGATTTTGCTTGTGCAGAAAACTGTTTCCAACGCATGGGTTGGTCTGAGGGAGAATGAGAATTCATTGTGGATAGTCTGTTCTCTCTGAGCACGTTGGCCAAACTAGAATTGCCAGGTTATCAAGTAGATCATCTCTTGGAAATTCACAGCCTCCTGCCACTGCCTGTTGCACAGTCATCTTACTCTGTGTCCTTTTATCTCTCAGACTGCACGTCTGGAGCACCCTGGGCACCTTTTGCCACGGCTTCTATTTGGCACTTGTGAAGCTGCAGTTGTCCCACTGGATATGCTATGGTGTGTGGATAGGATTCTCCCCACCTGTCAAGTCCTGGTCTCACCTGAGCAGCTCTCCTGGACGTGAAAAAATTCTACAAACCTCATAATTCCATGTCATTATAGCTACTTTGTTGATTTATTATTAGACATGCAATCTCCATTTTCTTTCTGTGTGTTATCTGATAGCTTCTCTTTTTCAATCCAGAAAGGTTTTGTCAAATGTAGGAACCATGTTGGGAAAGCCTGATCTATTTTTCTTCCCATCTTTGGGGAGTTTCCAGCTACTTACCTGGCTCACCAAACATGACATCATCTATACTCCTTTCAAAATGTTAGAAACTGGGGCAGTGCCTGTGGCTCAGTGAGTAGGGCACCAGCGCCACATACCGAGGGTGGTGGGTTCAAACCCAGCCTTGGCCAAACTGCAACAAGAAAAATAGCCAGGCATTGTGACAGGCGCCTATAATCCCAGCTACTCGGGAGGCTGAGGCAAGAGAATCACCCACGCCCAGGAGTAGGAGGTTGCTGTGAGCTGTATGATGCCACAGCACTCTACTGAGGGTGATAAAGTGAGACTCTGTCTCTACAAAAAAAAATTAGAAACTGCCTCGTACATTCTTTCCTGCCATTAGGGTTTTTTTGGAAGCCCAAGGACCCTGACCCTCCTGCTCTACACCTTCATGCTTCTGATAAGGAAATCAGTGGGGTTGAGTTGATTGGCCCTGCTCTGGCTGGCCTCGGGAAACCCAAGTTTCTATCTCTGCCCTCTGTGCGCTGACCAGACTCTTAAGTAAAAGCTTTGAGTACCATAAAGGAAAAGGGATCAGCATAGTTAGCCTTGTCCTTGCACAAAGGTGTATCTTACTTCAAGTCCCTAACTTACCATTCCCAAGGATTTTTAGTCTCAGAAAGAAACCAGTATTACATCACTCTTAAAATTCCTGGATTTCCATTCCCTAAAGTAAGGTATAACCAGACAAAGAATACCAACATAAGACCACAGAATTCCAGTCAGCTTTTTTTTTTTTTTTTTTTT